GGCTGCAGCGGCTGCTTCCGCAGGGGACAGGACCCTACGCTTGTCCCGGCCCTCTGGGACGCGCTGAGATGACGGGGGCTGCAGGGGAGCCCCGTTCTGGCAAGGAGAGGAAGGGGCTTGTGTGTGCACAAGCTGCTGGTCCCGAGTAATGTGTGGGCAGCTGTAGGGCAGAGGCTGGGGGGAGCCCTGTCCTGAGCATCTCCCTTTGCAGTCAGTCAACATCCCTGAGAGGTGGCAGCCATTCCGGATCAGATCTGAGGTCTGCACCGCTGAGCGCCTGCCAAGGGTGGCCTAAAGATGCTTTAAAAAGACAACAGGAGTGAGGCAAGCATCCAGTGCTGCTCCCCCAAGGGTGCTGCCTGTCCCATTTATTTGGGGTCACCCCTCTGCTTGATCAGTGTCCCCCTGAGCTCATGCAAACCGTGCTGCAGTGGGGAGAACCAGGGCTCTGACCGGCACAAAGGAGTCCCAGCAGCCTGAGGGAAGGCCAGGTCCCACAGGCCTTGCAACAGCCCTTCTCCAGCCTCCCAGCTCAGACTTGCATTCATGATTTACTTTTGTGTCTGCCCTCCCCGTGAAAGCATCAGCAAAGGCATTAATTAGTTTCCACTAGGGGAAAAGCCCATCTTATCCTGGCCCCTTTGGATGCCTGCAGCTCCCAAAGCTGGGCTTTACCCCTTTCCTTTCAGGTGACTGCAACGGCTCATCTGCCAAAAAATCCCCATCACCGCCACGGGGACAAACCTTTGTCTAGTACGACCCTGCTCAGCACAGCCAGGATGTGGCCCCTGCTCATCCCAACAAGTACCAAACAAGAAAACAGAGCCCAGAAAAGAGAGATGAGAATAAATATCCACGAGGCATCAGTGCTGACACCGAGATGGAGAGCTGCTTGCGAGTGCCAAGAGCCAAGTACATGGCACTACCCGCTCCTGACACTCCCAAAGAGCAGCCAAATCATCAGATGGAGCTGACACTCCGCACCAGCCTCCCATCGGTACCCTGTGCCCAAGGCACAGTGCCTCCTCTGACAACCTGCAGCCTGAGCAGGGGAGACTCAGCTCCTGAGGAGCTGCCTCTCTCTCGAGTCTGCATGAAAAATAGGACCTATAAGAGCTAGGGAAGAAGAGACGATACCAAAAATCACAGTGGCACTAACTAAATCAATTTTTAATAACTCCCTCCGAAGTTTAGCTCAAACTCAATTTTTGTCCTCCAGAATTTGGTCATTATTTTGTAAAATATTTGTCTCCCTGCAGCGGCTGCCTAATTTAAAGGCAGCAATCTGATTTCTCCCCACACTCCCCAAGCCTCAAAACCAGCTCTTCCAATAATAGACTGGGTTATGAATTAGATATAATAAAATACACTCAACTGCTCAGATCAGATACGGGAAAGTTTGGGGCCATCAGCCACGTCCTGAGGCTGAATGTTAGAGTTAAATGACTTTCTGCTCAGTTCAAACTGGCCTCAAAACACAAGTAGTAGTACGGTGTTTAACAAAACAGGCAAATCTGCAGCGGAATCTGTGAGCAGGAGTTTGCCGACACCAACAGCAGAGAGAGCATCATACCGTGCACAGGTAGATCTCTGCATCCCTCGCTCACATCCCTGGACTCTCAGCCTTGCCTGTGTTTTCCTTACGGGGGCACGTAAGAGGCAGAGGGCTGTTCACTACTGGCTGGTACCTGCAGCCTGGACCAAGTAGGAGGCACCGCTGAGCGGCACCGCAACCTCCCTCTGCACAGGCAGGAAGAGCCCAAGGGCAAGCGACTCCCCTGCTGCAGCCAGCATGCCACCAAACAGTGACAGGGTCACCCCCATAACTACCCCACTCTCCCCTCTGTGAAGGACAAACACTGCACACGCTGGACAGGCAGGGCTCTGCTATTTATTGAGCTCTAGGTTTGTATGTACACCCATTTACAGTGCTTGGTTCGGCGACAGCGTGACAAGAGGACGTGTGTGACAGTCTTCCCCAGCTCAGCCTTGGATGACAGCTGACCTCAGGAGCTGCTCCCAGGCACAGCCTGGGCTTCTCAGTTCATCCCAGCAAGGGAGCACCATGGGGGAGAGGAGACCTTCGATAGCTGAGCCCAGAGTTGAAAAGCTGAAAATCCCAGAGGTTGCCGCGGCAGAGGCAGACTCATCCCCAACTCTCTCACCTATCTGTCTAGTCTCAGGCTAAGCGGGATCGGAGAAAAGGAGGCATGTGGACAGCTGGGTGACTCAATGTTCCAACAGCAGCGATGCTGAGGCTGCACCTCGGAAGCAACTCAAGCCCCCTTCGGGAAGAAACTCCCCCCCTCAGAGGCGAGATGGTCTAGCAAGACCTCCCGACCCATACAGACAAGTGCCATGTGCTGCAAACCATTTTTACTCATTTTTCACTGGAGAAATGGCCTCCTTCTACATGCCCCAGCCTGTTCTCAAGCAGAGTGATTTTAGGGTGCCTGCTTGCTCTCCCAAGCACCATCCCCCTGACATGTACACATTTCCACGCGCCTGCATGGCAGAAAAGCAAATAAGCGCCTGGCTTAGCTGAAAAAAGCCAGACAATTCTGTGCTGAGGCAAAGTATCTTCTGTTGGGAGAAGCCGGTGCTCCCAAGGGAAATATACGGTCTTCATCAGCGGGTGGCCAAGGACACAGCTTTCAGCTTCCCATGCTCGTGGCAGGTAAAGAGGAAACATTAACACAATTAACACACGCTAGCATGAATAAGCCTTGCCTAAAAATGGCTGAAAATGAGCATGACATTCACATCACTCACACTAACCTACGAGGCTAAGAGCAGGACTAGGCACTTTTTTTTAAAAAACTGTTTTCTAGAGAAAAAAAAACAAGTGGATCTGGGATGTAAATAACTTCTCTACTTCAGTCCACCAAGTCAGGCCAGATCCTAACATCACTGCCGGGAGCTGAAAATGCATGAGCAGGGAACGGGTGTTTATGCTGCGTATTCCTGAGTTGGCAGCCTGACACAGCACTCGGAACAGGCTCCGCCGGACCTGGGCACCTCTGAAACACTGGCTCTGGAGCAGAAAGGTCTGCCTGTGCCCCAGAGCATCATCCCAGAGCTCTTCCTTAGGAAGTTCTCAGCAGACTGTTGCTGCAAGTCGCTTGGTGAAGACAGGAGGGCAGGCGAGAAAGTGAAGTAACTACTTCTCCAGCTGCATTTTAACTGCGTGCTACACACAAGGGAAAAACCAGGGACTTCTTAGTTCATGAAGGTCACCAGGCACTTGCAAACATGTGCAAGGCAGACGTTCCTGTGAGGAAGAGGAGGATTGTCGCAATGCAGTCTCTGATGGGCAATAAGGGGAGTGGGGGGAAGGAGTCAGCTTGTCCTCTGCCCCATGAAAATGGAATATCTAAAAATGTCCCTCAACCTTAGAAACAGCAGAGACAAGCTGGGCTACTGGAAGCAACAGTGACCCCAAGCAGAGCTGGTCTCCAGTTACGAAGTGCTCTGTCTGATGACCCATATTCTTGCATACTGGCTCAGACTGGACCCTGTAAGCCAACAGCCTTGGAGGCAAAATTTCTCCTTCTCCAGTAATCCAACGGCTTGGTTCAAGTGACACCTTCTGACATCAGGAGCCAGCAGTGAGCAGGGCCTGCTCCTTGGGGAAACTGTTTTACACCCCAAAGTAATTCCCAATGGGATGGCAGTGGATTTGATCTACATTGTGGGAGGGCAGGTTGATCCAGGCTGACAGAAAAGAACAGCCCTCACCTGGGATCAGAGAGCTTTCCCCGTAGAGCAGGTGAGCGATCTCAACCCAGAACTGTCTCACACAGCTGGACTGGTTTTATTATTTTGGTTGTGAGCTCTCCCCAGCTCTGCTACAAAGGTTTCCAGTGCATCTTCCCTGAGGCTGTGGAGGGAATCTCCCATTGCTATGTCACAGGAACAGCTGCCCACCCCCATGGCACCTTACAAAATTGCTTCCTCCTCCTCCTCAACATGCCGATCATCTCTCCTCAGCCCCAGTCCTGTTGAAACACATGCCTTTGGGATCAAACACACAGCAGCAAGGCTCTCCCCTAGAAGAAATGCAGTCCCTTCTGCAGGAGGAAGGCAAGGGACAACCGGCTGCAGATCTGTAGTGTCCCTGCCCAGACAGGCCCGTCTCTGGTCAGCCCTGCGCAGCGGCTGCGTCCCTGCTTCAAGAGATCGTAGAGAATTCCTTCAGCAGCAGTTCCTGGCTCAGAGTGTTGAAAGCAAGGTTCTTCCTCACGTTGATGCTGATGGACCGAACCTGACAGAGATAAAACAAGATGTTTTAGCCAACGGACTCTTCCTGGCTCCCCGTGAGCATGGTAGCTTTGACACTGCTGATCTCCAGGTTCAGCATGAAACCATTTTGCATGCTGTTATAGGCCCAGAGAACTTGCTGCAGTCAGCTCTCACTGAGACTCCAGCTTAGCAAGAAATCCCTGCGGATAGCTGCTCCCTGGAATAACAGGAATGTCCATAGTGACATCCCAGCAAGGAGAGTAAATTCCACAGGAGACAGGGATGGGAGAGGATGCTCTGTTTGGATGCATGAGCTATGGTTTGTTTCCTGCTCTGGGGCAAAGTGATGGGGAAAGTGAGCACTTCCAGGTTGCAGCTGGAAGAGCATTTTCTATCAGCGCCCGCTGGAGTGCCAGCCAGCATTCTCCTGGATGAATGCAGCGCCATGGCCTCTGTCCTGCTCCAGAACCTGCAGAGCCAAAGATACGGAGTCAAGGAAAGGACAGAGGCCACGCTACTGTGCTGTAAACACAAATTATCACCCAAGCTGGCAGAAAACCATGGGTTCAGAGCCAGCTGTGTGCATTCTGTGCTGAGTGCCTTACACTTGAAGCTGGCTCACTAGCTGTCTCTGAAGAAGAGACACCTTTATCCCTTAACGATGCCCAGACTTCTGGTCACCCACAGAGACTGCGAAGAAGAGCTGGGCAACCCTGTCGCACAGCAGCTTCCCTTCCCCCTTCCTGCCTGCAGACTCGCTGGCCGAACACGCAGGCCCCAGACTGGGCTCAGTCTCAGCTGCACTCGGCAACGAGAAAACAAAGTCAAACATCATCTGTGTCAGCGACTGTGCAGCAGTGACAGAAAGCAAAACTGACACAAGCTCATCCAAACAACGGGATTACAGTTCCCAGAGACTCGGAGCCTGTGATAAGAAGGTTGTTGCTGACCTGGTTAGCGTTTTGTGCTTTTTAAAAGCACTGGGGGATGAATTATATAGAAGCAGAACGAGGAATCCAACACTGGGGGCTGGAAGAGCAAGTTAGCAGTATTTATACTGCTGAGGGTCCCACTTGCTGCCCTGGTGAGAAAAAAAGAGGGGAAGGGCAGAAAGCTCCCAAAAAGGCAGAATGCGTAAGAGTGGGAAGCAAATCAAAACATGGAAGGTTAAGAGGGAAAGCTGTGAAGTGAACCCCAGTGAGCCCCATTGCACAGACCCTAACAACCCGAGCAAGCTAGCAAAGATGTCCACACTTAAAGTCAGAATATTTAAGTTTTATGGCATCTGCAGAAACCACAAACTCTCCTTCATCAGGATGCTTGGCAGAGACCCCATGCGTCTTCGTTCCCTTGGAGCACCCCCCCACCTCTCTTCTCTGGGTGTCTTTTGACTTACTCCATACTGAAATAGTTTGGGATCATGTCTTGTAAGATAACCACAGGTTATAGCCTATGCCAAGTGCCACTGCAAGTGGTCTCCAGAACACTGGTTTGCACTGGGCTGTCTCCCTGCCAGGAGAGGAGACGGGAGCCCCACTGACATGATTTGGTCCCAGTCCCACCGAGTGCTCCCTCCTCAGGGATCCAGTCAGTTCTGACAAGAGGGGAACAACATGGCTAAACAGATGTGGAGAGTCCTCTGCCCTGGGGAATGTGCTGCCTGCAAAAAAGGGGCAGATGCTACACGTAGTGTAAGCCAGGGTCCTTATTATGACTACAAGCATTTCTATGGGTCCCAGCAACAGAAAGAACGAGCAGAAATGAGCTCCTGGCCTCAGGAACTGCTGCCAGGGGCCAGACACCAGCAGTAGAAGATGCCCAACTTGTATATACATCAAAGTCTCTGAGAAGGGTGCAGCAGCAGTCTCTACAAGCCCAGAAAGGGAGGCTGGAGTGGCACATGATGAGAACACAGAGCTTAGCAGAAATTGTACCTATGGGGTAGAGCACAAGAAATTAAGCCTGTTTAGTTTGCAAAGAGAAGGTTTAGGAGGAATAGAGCAAACACTCTCCAATATGTAAAATGAGGTCAGAAAAAGAACAGTGAGTAATATTTCTCTGGCTCCCCAGAGATGGGGCGAGAAATACTCAGCTTAATTTAAGACAAAGAAGATTTACACTGGAAAAGAGGAAATACTTTTAAACCTATGGGTTCTGAGGCAGTGGAGTAGATCACCTGGGGCCAAAGTGGAGCTGTTTTCACTTAAAGACAGCTTCAGGTTTCAAGAGGAGCTTAGACACAAACTTTGGACAAGAGCAGTCTAGATGGACTTAGATCTGCTTTAACACAAGTTGGGGAGAGGAATGGGCTTGATAACAACACACAAGATGACTGTGACGTTTCTACAAATCTCTGCCCAGCGTTTCTTCTGCTGTGAGAAAGCGGGCAGCTCTGAGCCAACCAGCTTAAAAGGTAAGAATAGCTCAAATTAGAGTTAAATCAAGTTATCTCCAGTATCAGGGCTCAGCACAGGGAGCCAGAGCTCATCTCCCTTTTGGGGTTGGAAGACCAGACAGTGACACAGGGAGGTGTCAGCCTGTAACAAGGATAATCTTCAGAAGCTTCCTGCAGTCTGGCTGAGCTGCTCCATCCACGAGGCTACACCTCAGGACTCCTCCTAGCTCATGGTGCAGCAGGCAGCCCAGGCCTGGCTGCCAGCCTGGAAGCTACCAGAACTCTCTAGAGTGGCTTACACAAGGGGCCAAAACGAGCCTCAGAAAGTAAGCTCAGAGCTTTAACATTCATTCTGCAAGGAAGTAAAAGCAGAGCACGTGTCCTCTCTTGCTTCTGTATGGAGCATGCTGGAGCACACTCGGGCCAGAAGAGCTTTTAAAATTGTTTTCTCCCTATTAGCAGCTTGGATCACATTTAACCCACAGACTTTGAAGAAACGGGAAATGCATGAAATGCTGACATCACCTGGAGAACAATGAGCAAATGAAAGAATGGATGAAGCAGTGGCATTAACCATGTGAGGAAAACAGTATTCAGCTCTAGTTTTGTCCCATTATAGCTGGACATGTGCAACACTGTACAGACACTCCTATTTCACAGCAAGTCCCATCGATTAAACCTGTTTCAAATCAACAAGCACCTCTTAAGAAATTTTACAATGGGAGGAAGGTTTACACTGACTACTACATCTAATTAAAAGTCAAATTAGTGTAATTTCCCCTGCAGAAATCAATCCCTAATCAGACTGTTTTGAGACTCTGCTGAAACCTATCCAACTGCAAAGACAGTTAATGTTTTGCAAAGATGCTGAATCTCTTTCCACACATTCCTCCAGCTGCAACACAAGGGTCCAAAAGCTCACATCCAAACCATTCATTCTATCAAAGCAGCACAGACCTCAAATGACATCCCTGAGGGTTCAAAGGAAAAGAAATAAAAAGTGCTAGAAAACTTCCTAACTTCCTTCCTTTAGCCCCTCAAAGGCAGCACAACAGGCCAGAAAACCCAGTTGATAAAACACTCTGCACATCACCTTCCACCACAATGTGGCTGCAGTATCGCAGGCCTTTGAAAGCTTCTTTGAAAAGGGAATGGGAGAAGAAAGCAGATTTTTCTTTGGGATTAGCAAGAAAGAGCAGCACTGAGGCAAAGCCAGAGAAGTGAAGCAGTGCATTAGCAAAGCATGTCAAAGGAGTGAGAACAAGATTTCTAAGCATAAAGGAGCCAAGAGAATGGCTTGGGGAAGTTTCTGCTCACCCACTTAATGGGAGCACAGAGAGATGAAAAGGCAGCCGAAAAGGAAAATGGCTCCCGCGTGTCATTCCCCACCAAGAAGGATTTGCTTTAATGCAGTCACACAGATAGAGATAAGAAAACCAGGCGGAATCTGGAAAGAATTATTTGCAAACAGATCCTGTTCAGGAAGACCTGATGAGACCAGCATGAGTTTGGAAACCACACTGGAAACCTGTCGTTCACCACCAGCCCCGCTCCTTGGGCAGAGCTCACGAAGAAAATTGCAGCAACTTCACTCTTCCCTCTCCATGAAATCCTGCAAACCTCATCAGTTAAACGCAATGCATTGGGTAGGGGGATATTATCCAACGTCAGACCAGCAACGGAAGCCAAAGTAAAGACTCAGAAGCCTCGCAAAAAGGAAGCCAAGTACCTGGTTTGAAGAGGATATGGGGAGGACAGGGCTGACTAGGGCCTTTTTGATGAGCTGTTCAAACAATTAATAAAGCCATCAGTTACTGTGCACCTAGAGGAAAAAACAGTGTGGAGGATGGGAGGCCAGCTGGGTTTGCTGAAGACAAATCATAACATATCAGGTTGATTTCCCACTGTGTTGAGGGAACGGCTTAATGGAATGCAGGGGATTTTCTGTAGCTGTGAGTAAAGAACATTTAATAGGGTCCCAATTCTCAGGGCATCTAGAGAAATGTGGATTAAACAGATTCACAACTGGGTCAAATCAGCACATTTAGACAGTAATTATTCAGGCTTTCATATGCTCTTGAGAAGAGGGTCCCAGGGGTACCTGGACGGGCAATTTTCACAAGGGAGTTGAGGAGGGACTGGTTTATGCTAAACAGATACTTAAATGATACAAAATTGGGATTTTGGAAAAAAAAAAATCAGGCTAGGAAGAATATAATTTTAGCTGAAGTGTTTTGTAACTGTGATGATCTTAGGACTGAGAATGTCATTTTAATCAATTGGCATGATCAGCCTAAGCTTCTGCCAGGCCAAGTGGAAAGTGGGGCATGCAGGAAGCAGTCATGTGGCCAAGAGGCTGGGGAAGGAGATGCTGGCTGAGGAGGGCAGGAGCCCTTGGGACAGAACAGATGACAACAGAAACATGAATGCATCTTATTTCCAGGGTACAGTAATAGGAGAAGCCCGTGTCACAGGAAGGCTATGGCCAAATTTCTTTTCATGTATTCCAGATATGGTATCAAACAGCAGGCCAGAGAGACAAAAACAGGCACAAAAGAGCACAGAAAAACGGCATGAAAGTGATTGCAAGTGGTTTTGCCCGTATGCTACCCAATGGCAGTGCTGGAATGACCCAAAAACATTAAAAAGCATTCTGTAGAAGGAAGCAAAACCAATTCAGGTGTGCTTGCTCTGGAGCAGCGTAGACAGAGGGAGGTATAACATTCCCAAACTCATGCAGACTCGTGACGGAGTGGGCAGGCATCAATTACTCATCAATCAGCAAGGACAGAGCTGGGAGAGAGAATCAGCTCTCAAACTGGTGGAGAAAGCTGCCAGAGTTAGAGATCTCTCCCTTCCCTGAAGCGGCAATGATTGAAAAGTGAGGAAAAACAGGCTCCCCTCAGATACCAGCCACTACAAAAACATTGCCTCCCTGGTGATGCAGCCGTCGGACAAGAAAATGTTGCAGCAGGGCTCTCTGGAGCAGGGTGAGCAAGTTGGCCTGCTGAAGAATATAACTACCAACCCAAATTATTTGGACTCAGTTTTGTCTTCGCTACATTATTTTTGTGGAGCTTCCTACCATTAGTCTTCTCCTCTGGCAGAAGTAGACATTTCTAGGAAATGCCTTTGCTTTCTTTGCTTGAGAATCCTATTTTGTGAGTGATGGAGGAAAGCAACGAGCAGGCACGTGTTTCACCAGTATCACATATTCTGCTCAGTCCCATACTTTGTGGTCCCCTTAACAACAGCAAAAAGGCTAAGTTGTTCTGCGTGATAAACCCAAGGTGGGAGCAGTCAGCTTCTCCACCATGCAAATTTACCACCACAAAGCACAGTGGATCCCCATGGCAGAAGGGACAGAGAATGACTGACTGGTTGCTGGCCTGAGCAGTCTGGTGGTTCCTTCCCAGCCATGTATTGCAGGACAGGGAGCTCCAGGGAGCTTTCATATCAGTTGAGACATGCAGTGTCTCTTCAGATCCTATTCCTGCCCCATCTTTGGAGGCAGCCCAATGGAGTAACAGGGCTGCTCAGCTATACCCCAAATGCCACTGCCCAGGCCGTAAGCAAAAGCTTTGGAAAAGCATTGTTGATTCTGCAGAATCAAGGCAGCTTACCAGCTCTTTGAAGAAGGCAGCCTCTTTATGCTGCTCTGAGTAGCGCTCATACTGGTCCAGTCCGTCCTGCAGTTTCAGGGTCAGTGTGTCGTAGTTGGACCGTACCACTTCCAAAACCTGCCAGAGACAGCCAAATACAGCAGAGGAGTCAGCATCCATGGATGCCTCAGCATAGGAGGAACAAGGCTGAGAGAGATCACAGCTCTGGCACCTGTTTTTGCAACATACATGGCCTTAACAGCCAATATTTGGCTCATGACTAACAACATGGAGGTGGGCACTAAAGTCTTCCTAATGCCAGTAAGGAACAGCCCTCAAATTTACAGAACTTCTTCATTCATGGGAAGAGTGGATGAGCCTATGACAGCAGCAGTTTTCCAAATACTATTATGTCACCAGGAGAAGTAGACATGATCTCATTAAATTAAGCAGCTAATTACCATGTGTACACACAAATGTAACACAGTAGGCACTATGCAAACACAGGTTTGCCTGACCCTATGGTCCTCCCAATGCTGGTTTTGCCAGCACACCTCCCTCCTGGCTTGCTAATCACCATTCACAATCTGCTAAACCACCAGCTTCTGCAGCTGCTCAGGTCAGCTTCCATACAGAGCACTGCGCTTCTCTCCTGATGGGAACAAACTTCTGACAGGCACTAAGAGAAGACCAACTCTGGTACGGACTCTGGTTTGGAAACAGATGGAGACAGGAATCCAGGTCTTCCTGCCCTGGAGATACTTTATTATCTGCCTTCCCCGCAACCAAAGCACTCCAGCTTATATTACTGCCTTACTCTGCTCCCAGCACTGGGCTATACTCGTAAATTCATAGTTACGCATCTCCATCCTATTGAACTATTCATTTTCCTAACTAGGGAACACCAAGAGGGACTCCCACAATGCTTTTTAGCTTCAAAGCATTGCATGGACAGACACATTCCTCAAAGCATTTGTGAGATGGTAAGTAACGATAATCTTCCTACCAGGAACCATATAGCTCAGCACTCCTGGGCAAAACATATGCTTGAAACAATTCTCTTAAACACATGAACTTCTTTCTTAGGCTGTTACCACTTGATCTGAGAGCTAAACAGAAGCACGGACAAAATATCAACATCTGAGGTTTGCATTACGGTAGCCTCTGCTCATGAAAAGCCTCAGCCAGGAGGACTACATAGTACAAGGTGCAAAGGAAGAGGACTCTACCCCAAGGCATTCACAATTCAGGAGAGATCCTAAGAAAAGCATTGCAGAGGGTGTAGGACAACAGTGAGCAGAACAATAAGGAACCCTTCTACTTCTCCTCTTGTCCTCCCAATAATGTAAACGCTACCCTCAATTGCCCTTTTAGGCAGCTGTCAGCTCCTGCCCTTTACAGGACTGAATCGTGTCCTTATATCCTTTACTCGAGGAATCCTAGACTTGCTTAGGGCTCCCTTCAAAAACTTATTTCCCTGTCTTGTTTTCCCCAAAACTTTGCATGTGGCAGGGGTACACAGAGACACTCATGCAAACACTTAGAAGCAGGCTAGGGCCTGAGGTGGCAGAAGCCACAGGGCATGATCCCAATGAGGACTGACAGTAAAAAAGGGTCCTAGAAGTGGTTCCCAGGTGAGATGGTCACACAGCAGAGTCTCTTTGCAGCTCAGCTGTCCTCCAGCATTGCAGAGGCAAGCTAGGGGTAGCAATCAGTATTTTGCAAGGTTATTTACAAACAGCCCGTCAGCGTTCTGCTGCTGCAAAAGCACGCAGCCTCCTCTCCAGGACTCATTTTCTAACGTTGCTTGTCAGCTCCACTGGCAGAGAGGAAGAACCCCCTGCAATGACAGCCATCTCCAAATTCAGTCTGGCCCTCTTGTTCCTGTGTGCAGAAGCTGTGAGAAGTATCACAGAGACAAGAGCAACGATGAAAGAAAGCCGCCTGGGTACAGGAATAATTTAGTCTGGGATGCAACTAGCCACTAGGGATGGAGAGTAATAGCATAATGCGCCTTCTTCTGAGCAATAAAGAATCTAGCAGCTTGCATGAATCAGAGGGCTATCCTCCTGTCAATCTGAGGAAGCCAAGTTGACCAAGATTAACAAACTGCAGGAGAGAAACCCTGTTTGAAAGGTGAGGAGTAGAACATGCTTCTCCAGCAGTAACTCAGAGCGGAGGCATTTTACCCAGGGCTACCCCACTTCCCCAGGAGCCTTCCCTTGGGCCCCTCTTCACTCCCCTGTGCCCCCATGTGCACAGCCATGTGTAGTGCCATATGGGTGTGCCCATGTACACACCTCTCCACAAAGAAGCAGGATTCCTCCTTGCTAGCTCTGAGTACAGATCTCTTCAGATACTCAACAGGGGCATCGTCAAACCACTGTGAGAAGGAGTAAACTCCAAGGGCAGCAGCGAGCTCTGTAAGCAGTATCCTTTAAATTAGCCCTCCTGTGTCACCTTTGAAAGGCAGCTAAGAACTCAGTTTGATACTCTAGGAGGAGGACAGGGAAGGAACAAGAGGCCCCAAAGTCTCTACTGTGTTACCCACTACTTATCGTAACCTCTGCAGTGGACTTGAGATCAGCTTATCCATTTAGCTATGTATTTTCATTGGCTTCCACTCCTTATCTCCTTTAATTATGAACTAGAACTTAAAAAGAAAGGGTAAGTTAAAAATAAACAGCTTCTCCTCACTGCCTGATAATTTCCCTTTCTTGCTGCTGCTGAGAAAAAATGCTACGTGGGATCTGAGATAAACCCACTCACAGATCATTTCACTTCATACCCTATAATGGATAGGAACTGTTACTGAGATTAGGACCTGCCATCCTGGAAACGATTTCATCTGCTCTTTAACATGCAGCTGCTAGACAGAGGAGAGGTTGAAAAGCAGCTGAAGGTATTAAGAGCATCTAACATGAAGGTTTGAAAGGCATCAGCTTTCTACACAGTTGACAAAAAACTCACATCCTCTGTGTAACAGAAGATTGCATGCTAGCATCCTTCGCCCTTCTTACACACTGCTTTGACTTTTGCTCAGGAAAACTACTGCAGGAAGAACACCCTTTTGCGTTAAACACACGAGATCTTTATCTGCACCTTTCTGTCAGATACAAGAGAACTACAGGAATTTACTTTTGAGATTAAAGCATTTCTCCTTCAAGGTCTTGTCCAACCTGGTCTTCCTAGAAGTCTCTATGGCAGACTAGAAAACATCAATTCCAAGATGGTGAAGTATGAGTAACTTAAAAAGGAAAGGACTTTTAGCTGGACTCTCCCACATGGTTTTTAAATAGTCATTCAGTTTTTTAGAATCTCACGAGCAGCTGGAAGAACACCACTTCTAGTGTCAGGCAAGGATAGAAGAAAATGGACTGTAGATGATTTCCAAGGAGTTTCTCAGCAAGCAACAGGGAAGATAAGATGTGACACTTCTCAGATTGCAAGGATAAACATGCAGGGCAAACTATTTTTTTAAAAAAGCTTTACTGGATCTTTACAGTGGAAAAAAATTAAATGAGGAGGAGTCACAACCTAAATCGTTTTTTGTAGGTTACCTTAGGGGGATCAGAGTCTTAAAAAAGCAATATGACAGAAGTGAGCAACTCAGACACAGTCAATACAAGAAAAGTGAAGGCTGCTGAATTCCTTTCCTGCAGTTACCTGTGTCAGCCCTAGAGGATACATTTGCTCATTTACCCCACTGCAACAAACCAGAAGTCAGTGGAGCTGCACCACTGCAATTTAAAGATAATTTGCTATCAAATTAACCCCCTGCCCCACCACTCACTCACTGACTGCTTTCCAGAAGTTCCAGAGAAATGTTAGTGATTCAGGTCCCTGCGTATGTACGTACAACCTTTCAGGAGCTGCTCTGAACAGTAAGCGCTTTCTGCGGCACTTGGATTTCAGCTTCCTCCTGCAGCTACAATTGCCCATGCCCCGTAATTCTCCTTCCCCAGTAACACCAACAACCTGTGAGTAAAGGCACCCCCCAGGTAACATAGCAGGGGGGCTGGCTTACAATGGAGGGGCTGACGTGGGGCTCAGCTCTCTGCAGCATCCCACCCATGCCATGCTGTGCTGCTATACCCAGAGGAACAAGATTATTTCACAGAGTTTTTGGCTCCTTACTTTGCTGAATCCACCAGCTTACCGCTCCCTTGTAAACTAGATGGACAACCTCCGAAGGGTCAGTGGACTCTTGCAGACACAAGCTCTGGAACCAGTTCCCCCAGAACCAACTGCCCCTGCCCTGAAATTTTCTGCATTCAAAACAGACTGTGCTTTGCTGTACCACTCTCTACACACAGGCTCCTTCCTTACTGTACCAGAGCTGTTCCTCTGACTGATGCTCAACTAACTTGCTGCACTCCCCCAGGAGAGACTGGACCTTCTGGAAGAGCCTGTTGTGGGTAAACAAGGGGATTACATGCAGCAGCCTCCGATCCCCATCCTGCCCAGAAGAACACGGTCATGGTAAGCAGCAAAGCCAGAAAAAGAGCTGCACCAGCAATGAAATCTAACGGGCAACATGCAGAATGAGGGCCCTTCTATCTGGCAGACATAGTACGCTTCATTGCTTAGTAACATTTTAACCTGCAGAATCTTTCATCATCTGCAACTGCAGTCTCTGCCTTACTACAACATAAAATTAGAGAGTGCCACCAATTCACACCACCCAGCAAAGGACCTGGTGGTGGGTAGGTTCTGGGAAGCATGGACGGGTAATGACAGAAAAATAAAGGAAAAACAGAAGCAAGAAGAAAGCAAGGTCTCTACACTTTTTAATCAGTGCAGGAAAGGACAAGAATGCAATCAGTCAGCATCACCAGCACCTCACTAAAGCCTCTCCATGCCCATAAGACAGTCATTAGCTACCACGACACGGAAGCTGTTGGAAAAGAACTGACTGAATGATCTCACATCAAGCAAAAGCCAAAAAAACCCAACCCAACAAACCCCAGGTTAAAATGCATTTGCCCCCCACACCAACTCCGTGTGGCTCACAAGGCTGGGACAGGGGGAGGCTCTCCAGATCAGGCCTAGCAAGCCCTCACAGGACGGAAAAGCTGGGCGCTTCTGTCCCAGCTGTCCCATGCTGGAGCATGGAGCAGCCTGTCTATGGGGCATGT